CTCCTATCCCTCAGTGTCAGTGTACAGTGAAGAGCTCCTATCCCCTAGTGTGTGAAGAGCTCAAGTCTCTCAGTGTGTCAGTGAAGAGCTCATCTCTCTTTCCCAGTGGTTCCCTCTCATGGACACGGAGACTGGTAGCGTCCACCTGCGGCTGGAGTGGCTCTCCCTGCTGCCCAGCGCGGACAAGCTGGACGAGGCAAGTGCCCTTCTGCCTCACCCTCACACCCATCGCCTTGTACACAACCTTCTAATCCCCTCTCTCCTGCTCCCCCCTCTCCCAGGTCCTCCAGAGGAATCGCTCTTTCTCCACTCAGAAGGCAGAGCCTCCCTCGGCAGCCATCTTGGCAGTGTACCTGGACCGTGCACAGGAACTTCCTGTGAGTCACACTTCCTGTCACCGTCATCTGTCTGCTTCCTGTGTGGCTGCTAGGGCCTGACAGAAGCCAGGAGACATCTGTACCGGTCTCTTTGTGTTCCGCTGTGTTGTTGTGTAGTTGCTTGTACTGTTTTGGTTAGCTCACAGGGTTGCGTGTAATGGTGTTCTTGTTGCTTCATTGGTCTGATAGACTAAGTGTTACGTTTAGTTCGGGGGGGTCGTGTGAGTGCTTGTGCAGTGATGTGTAGCTGTCCTGACCGTGCCTGTTTTTTTCAGTTGAAGAAGGGCAATAAGGACCCGAGCCCCATGGTGCAGCTGTCCGTGCAGGACACCACCCGCGAGAGCCGAGTGAGTTACCCCCAACACCCCACTATCTCCACACCCTGACAGCCAGGGAATCCATACACCAGTACAACAGCCACTCCTTAAATACCCTGACGCCCCAGTACTTCCAGTATCTCCAGTACTCTTTATAGTACAGCGTTTGTACCTCTCCACAGTTTAAATAACATGAGAAGGGTTACCCAGGCCCAGGGGCCCAGGGGCCCGTCTGTCCCGTTTGGCAGCTGGCACCTCATTGATCCCAGGATCTCATCCAGCCATTTCCAGGCTGAAGCCAGGGTATCCCTCAGTGTGCAGCTTGTTCCACACCCCCACCCCCGTGGAGAGGAGAAGGGTAACCTGTGACCCCCTCTCTCTGCCTGTGACAGACCTGTTACGGCACTCATAACCCCGTGTGGGAGGACGCCTTCGTCTTCTTCATCCAGGACCCCCGCAGACAGGACATTGACATACAGGTGAGTGATGATCACAAGCACCCTGCGTCCATTATCCACGCATCTGCCTCGGATCCACCCCGGATCCACCTCAGATTCACCCCGGATCTAACTGGGACAGGACACCATCCACCCATCTTCTAACTGTTGCATCCAAGTCACGGTTGCAGAGGACCTGGATCCTTTCCGGCAAACAATGAGCACAAGGCAGGATACACCCTGGACAGGACTCCAGTCCATCACAAACCCACAGGCTCACACTATGGCCAGCTTTCCCAGAAGCCTTTTAAGCTGCCAAAATGTCTTTGGCCTGTGGGAAAAAACATGGAGAAATGCACACAAACGCAGGGAGAACATACGAACTCCATGCGGATAGCACCGTACAAATTGAATCCAGGTGCGAGGCAGCAATGCTAACCAGTGCGCCAGCATGCCACCAGTCCCTGTCATTTAGAGACGTGACTCAATATTCAGGGCATCTGTAGAAAGAGGAAGGAAACAGGAGCACATTAATGGGAACATGCAAACTCCACACGGAAGGTGTGCAAATTCAGAATCACTATTGAGGCAGCAACAGCACTAACCACCATGCCGCTGTACTGCTTAGTACTATATCAATTATAATACAGTGATTCTGATGTTTAGTACCAATAAGATAAGATATCACTTTCTAGGTCATATACAATTTCTTGTATTAAGAATTTGTCTTTTCACATACCCCCAGCTCACTCTCCATGAGACACACGGACTGGGAGAGAACTTGGGGTCAGAAATTATTACAGCGCCCCTGAAGCAGTTGGGGTTAAGGGCCTTGCTCAGGGGCCCAACGGAGAAGGATTCCTCTGCCGGCTGCGGAATACAAACCGGGAACCTTCCAGCCACAGGCGCAGATCCTGAGCCACAGAGCCACTGCCCTGCCCCTTACTGCCACTGTGACTGCTGCAGCTGAAACAGAGATCTTTGGTAGTGAAAGATAGTAGTAGCAGTGATAGTAATTTTCCTCTCACACTGTTAATGGTGCTATCTACTACTTGTAAGAGTGACAGTAATTAAAATGTTGCCAACGACCACCTCTGCCTTCCCCTCCTCTCCTCCTCCTCCTTCTCCCCACCTCCTGTCTCTCCCCCCCCCAGGTGAAGGATGATGACCGCTCCCTGACCTTGGGCAGCCTGTCCATCCCTCTTTCACGGCTGCTGACCGCTCCTGACCTCTCCTTGGATCAGTGGTTCCAGCTGGACAGCTCTGGGTCAGCCAGCCGCATTTATATGAACATCATCCTGAGGGTGAGCGAGAGAGAGACTGTACAGGCTCAGTGACCGCAGCCTGGCCATAGGAACTGGGCGACACAGGCAGACCCGGCTGCCCAGAGAGGACAGGCTGTGCTCCCACTGCCAGCGGGGAGAAACAGAGACAGAGGTGCACTTCCTACTGCACTGTGACAGATACTCTGGGATTAGACAAACATTCCTCCCTAAATTTACAAATCTAATCCCAGAATTCCCACACCTGCCAGAGTCACAACAGGTCCCAATCCTACTGGGAGAGGGAGGAGGGAACTCAGCTGAACTGGCAGCCCAGTATGTGATCTCCTGTCACAGCCTGGGGAACAGACAGGGGACCTTTTTCTCAATAATAATAATACAGTTTTTGATCTCCTGTCAGCCTGAGGAAAAGTGAGCCTGCCTCTCAATAATGCTTCATATGTTTATATGTAAATATCTTAGGATTTTGTCTTTATTGTAAATGTCTGTAGATTTTTGTTTTTAAGTTAATTGTGTTTGTTTTGCTTTGGCAACACTGATTTTACTCATTGGTCATGCCAATAAAGCATAATGAATTGAACTGAAAATTGAGTGCCCCCTGGTGACCATGCCCTGCTACTGCATCATCATGGGACAGGAAACTGGGCTACTGGCATTTTTCACGGACGTGTTCTCTCTCTTTTCTGCTTTTTCTGTCTTTGCCTTTCTGTTATCATTTAGTTTGATTTTAATATAAAGCCCTTTCCAATATTTCCTGACGAGAACAATGCCGCATGAAATCAATTGCACTGATTGATCGACATCTCTTCCTCTCTCTGCATCTCTCTCCACCTTGTCCCCCCCCCCTCAGATCCTCTGGCTGGATGACAATGTCTCCCCCAGCGCCCCTGTGTCGCCCCACCCCTCGGTGCCTGTGCCCATGCCAGCCCCCGGGGGGGCAGGGCAGGGTGAGGACGGGATGGGCTCAGTGGTGAACCCAGGTGGGGTCAGTGTCCCGCCCTCCGCCTCCGCCACTCTGCCCCAGCACACCAGCCCCGGTCCGAGCTTCGCCACCGAGGTGAGAGAGAGGGACTGCAGCAGCATGGGGTTAATTACTGTACCAGCTCGCAGCTCAGGATTAGTGTTCTTGCATTGCATTGTTATAATTTTTAGAAATGCTTTATTATTATACTGCCGGCCTGGGCACTACACTGTCACACACTGAAAAACGCAGTCCAGCCTCACAGTGATGTGAAGCCAGCAGCCATGTCATCCTGCAGCTCACAACCGGCAGCCTACTGGAACTCAGCAGGTGTGAGCCTGGTCAGTACCTGGACGAGAGACCTCCTGGGAAAAACTAACGCTGCTGCCGGAAGAGGTGTTAGTGGGGCCAGCAGGGGGCGCTCACCCTGTGGTCTGTGTCTGTCCTAATGCCCCAGTATAGTGACGGGGACACTATACTGTAAAAAGACACCGTCCTTCGGATGAGATGTAAAACCGAGGTCCTGACTCTCTGGTCATTAAAAATCCCAGGGCTTTTCTTGAAAAGAGTTCTACCCCAGCGTCCTTGCTAAATTTCCCCCCTGTTCTTTACCAATCGTGCACTGATAGCTGGTGTGTGGTGAGTGCACTGGTGCTCTCTGGCTGCTGTTGCATCAGCCAGTGGTGGAGGAGAGTCCCCATTACCTGTGAAGCACTTTGAGTGAAGTGTCCAGAAAAGAGCTATATAAGTGTAAGCAATTATTATTATTGATGTGGTACTATAGCCGAGCGTTATGGAGTAGCTTGGCCAGGGTGCAGTAACACAGTTTGTCCCACAGGGGGTGCTGCGGATCCATCTTGTGGAGGCTCAGAACCTGATTGCCAAGGACAACTTCCTGGGCAGGGGCAAGAGCGACCCCTACGTGGTGATACGCACAGGGGGCATGACCTTCCGCAGCCGCGTGATCAAGGAGAATCTCAACCCCACCTGGAACGAGCTGTATGAGGTTCGTTATTGTCCTAGTTTCCCCCACTTGGATAGGGGTGTAGTGCTGAGAATTGCATGAACTGTCGTGTGGGAAGACGCCAGCACAGTAATTCTGATTGCCTGGCAGGTAATCCTGACTGAGGTCCCGGGGCAGGAGGTCCAGTTCGAGGTCTTTGATAAGGACTTGGATCAAGATGACTTCCTGGGCAGGTGAGGCGTGAGCATGGGATGGACTCGGTAAGGCAGGACACCTTACTTTCACAGTAGTGCGCCCCCTTGTGGCCATGCTGTGGAGGGTGGTTGCAGCTCTGTGGCAGTTACATAACAGAGTTCTCTGTGTGGACAGGCTGAAGATCAGTCTGAGAGACATCATTACATCCCAGTACATCGACGAGGTGAGAAGTGATGGTCTGTGTTTGTCTCTCCCTATGTCTGTCTGTTTGTGTTATTGACCCGTGTGTGTCCGGTGCTGACCCATGTGTGTGTGTGCATGGTGCTGACCCATGTGTTTGCGTGCTGCTGACCTGTGTGTGTGTTCTGTGCTGACCTGTGTGTGTGCTGACCCATGTGTGTCTGGCTGCTGACCTGTGTGTGTGTTCTGTGCTGACCTGTGTGTGTGCTGACCCATGTGTGTCTGGCTGCTGACCTGTGTGTGTGTTCTGTGCTGACCCGTGTGTGTGCTGACCCATGTGTGTGTGTGCTGCTGACCCGTGTGTGCTGCTGACCCATGTGTGTGTTCTGTGCTGACCCGTGTGTGCTGACCCATATGTGTGTGTGCTGCTGACCCGTGTGTGTGTTCTGTGCTGACCTGTGTGTGTGCTGACCCATGTGTGTGTGTGCTGCTGACCTGTGTGTGTGTTCTGT